AACTTCCAGATGTTCAAGCTGCATTTAGAAAAGGCAGAGGAACCAGAGGTCAAATTGCCAACATCCACTGGATCATCAAAAAAGCAAGAGAGTTCCAGAAAAACATCTATTTCTGCTTTATTGACTATGCCAAAGCCTTTATATAAATTCTGAAAGAGATGGGAATACCAGACCACCTGACCTGCCTCTTGAGAAACCTATATGCAGGTCAGGAAGCAACAGTTAGAACTTGACATGGAACAACAGACTGGTTCCAAATAGGGAAAGGAGTACGTCAAGGCTGTACATTGTCACCCTGCTTATTTAACTTATATGTAGAGTACATCATGAGGAATGCTGGGCTGGAAGAAGCACAAACTTGAATCAAGATTGCCGGGAGAAATATCAATAACCTCAGATGTGCAGATGACAGCACCCTTATGGCAGAAAGTGAAGAAGAACTAAAGAGCCTCTTGATGAAAGTGAAAGAGGAGAGTGAAAAAGTGGGGTTAAAGCTCAACATTCAGAAAACTAAGATCATGGCATCTGGTCCCATCATTTCATGGGAAATATATGGGGAAACAGTGTCAGACTTTATTTTGGGGGGCTCCAAAATCACTGCAGATGGTGATTGCAGCCATGAAATTAAAAGACATTTACTCCTTGGAAGGAAAGTTATGACCAACTTAGATAGCATATTAAAAGCAGAGATGTTACTTTGCCAGCAAAGGTCTGTCTAGTCAAGGCTATGGTTTTTCCAGTGGTCATGTATGGATGTGAGAGTTGGACTGTGAAGAAAGCTGAGCGCTGAAAAATTGATGCTTTCAAAGTGTGGTGTTGGAGAAGATTCTTGAGAGTCCCTTGGACTGCAAGGAGATCCAACCAGTCCATCTTAAAGGAGATCAGTCCTGGGTGTTCATTGGTAGGACTGATGCTGAAGCTGAAACTCCAATACTTTGGCCACCTCATGCAAAGAGTTGACTCATTGGAAAAGACCCTGATGCTGGGAGGGATTGGGGGCAGGAGGAGAAAGGGACGACAGAGGATGAGATGGCTGGATGGCATCACCGACTCGATGGACTTGAGTTTGTGTAAACTCCGGGAGTTGCTAATGGACAGGGAGGCCTGTCGTACTGTGATTCATGGGGTCGGAAAAGGGTCGGATACGACTGAGTGACTGAACTGAACTGAAGATATGAAAGCATCCCAAGTTCCATTGATAGACAAATGAATAAAGAAGATGTGGTATACACATACAATAGAATATTACTCAGACATAAAAAATGAAATCTTACCTTTTGTAACAACATGAGTGGACCTAGAGAGTATTATGCTAAATAAAATAAGTTAGAGGAAGAGAAATGTTGCATGAAGAATCTAAATTTAGATTGTTTGTGAAATCTAAGAAACAAACCAAGCAAACAAAGCAAAACAAAAGCGAACTCATAGATATTGAGAACAAATGGGTGGCTGCCAGAAGGTGGTGTGGGTGGACAAAATAGATGAAGAGGTTTAAGAAGTAGAAACCTTCAGTTATACAATAAATAATCATGAGTGTGTAATATACAGCATGAAGAATATGGCTATTATATTTAAAGAACTTTGTATGGAGACAGATGGTTACTATACTTGTTGTAATTATAATCAAATGACAATGTATACAAATGTCAAAATATTATGTAGTGCACCTGAAAATAAGGTAACATTGTATGACAACTATATTTCAAAAAATGAACATACACAAATATGAATATAAAGAATATATATGTGGAAGAAAAAAGTGAAAGGATAAAACATAGTAATATTAATAGTAGTTGTCTCTCTGGATGGTAGAATTTATTTACTTCTTTTCTGTATGTGTGGTTATAATGGCTTTTATAATCAATATACATTGCTTACATAATGAAAAATGGAAGCTATTAAATATCTTTATTTTTTCTTGAGAACTAAAAATAATTTTAACTAATTAATTAAAATATAATTGGCATTCAACATTATATGAGTTTCAGGTGTGCAACATGGTGATATGATGTTGTTATTTCTGAAAGTATATTGAGAATGTTTTAATGATTGCAACTATGGTAGACGCCTCTTAGATTTGCTGCTGCTGCTGAATTTTTGGCCACCTGTTTTGCTGCATGATCTTGTCTCTTGGTCTTAGGCGAGTAGTTGAGGAATAAACTTCTGAACGAGGTTATGACACTCAGATTCACCCTCTTGTAAATATGGTGTCTAGAATTGTGAGGTGCAGAGTCTGAGAACTATTAGAAGTTGAGTTATGTTAACAGTAGTCTGTACTTATTTTCATATTGATGCTTGGCTGTTCACATTTTCCTTGGATTTTTCTGAGATACCTTGTTCCATACATTTAAAATTTTTAAAGCCATTGAATTATTATTGTCTATTTTTTCAAGCAAAATAATTTTAATAAATTCAAAAGAACTTTCATTGATTCAAGAGTCATTTACCAAACATTTACTGTGTGCCAGCTTTTGGTACTATAAAAGCAAAGAAAAAACAAAACTATCCAAATGTTTGGATAGCAACTGTTTTCATATTTTCATTCTGACTTCTAGTTTCTGTTAATAGTCTGAAAACAATTGACAAATCACCACTTTTTCCTCCTCAGGGAGAATGTCAGATTTCCGTTAAATTTAATGTGTTGTGACTTAGAGAGATGGGAATACCAGACCATCTTACCTGTCTCCTGAGAAACCTATATGCTGGTCAAGAAGCAACAGTTAGAACTCTATGTGAAACAACTGCCTGGTTCGGGACTGAGAAACGGGTACAACAAGGCTGTTTATATGCAGAGCACATCATGAGAAATGCTGGGTTGTGTGAATTACAAGCTGGAATCAAGATTGCCATGAGAAGAATCAACAACCACAGATATGCAGATGATATCACTCAAATGGCAGAAAGTGAAGAGGAACTAAATAACCTCTTGATGAGGGTGAAGGAGGAGAATGAAAAAGCTGGCTAAAAACTAAATATTAAAAAAACTAAAACCATGGCATCACTTCACGGCAAATAGAAGGGGAAAATGTGGAAGCAGTGACAGATTTCCTCTTCTTGGGCTCTAAAATCACTGTGGATGGTGATTACAGCCATGAAATTAGAAGACAATTCCTTCTTGGCAGAAAAGCTATGAGAAACTTAGTGTGTTAAAAAGCAAAGACATCAGTTTTCTGACAAAGGTCTGTATAGTCAAGGCTATGGTCTTTCCAGTAGTCATGTACGGTTGTGAGAGCTGGACCATGAAGAAGGCAGAGCACTAAAGAAATGACGCTTTCAAACTGCGGTGCTGGAGAAGATTCTTGTGAATCCCTTGGACAGCAAGGAGATGAAACCAGCCAATATTAAATAAATCAACCCTGAGTACTCATTGGTAGGACTGATGCTGAAGCTGAATCTTTGGCCAATACTTTGGCCACCTGATGTGAACTCATTGGAAAAAGACCCTGATGCTGGGAAAGATTGATGGCAGAAGGAGAAGAGGGCATCAGAGGATGAGATGGCTGGACATGCAATGGAAATGAACTTGGGCAAACTCCAGGAGATGGGACAAGGAGGTCTGGCATGCTGCAGTCAGGAGGTCATGAAGAGTCAGACACAACTAGAAACTAAACAACAACTTAAAATTATAACACAGCACAATAATATGAATGTATTAATGCTGCTGAACTGTACACTTAAAAATGGCTAAGATGGCAAATTCTATGTTATGTATATTTTTATCATAATTTAAAACATAAACATATTAAAAATATTCAACACTGAAGCATCTGCAAAGATCCAATACTTGTTTGCCTAATCTTTTGGATAAGCATGATTTTTGTGGTTCAAATTTTCAGGGAATTTTCATAAGAAACTGAGGGCAACTATAGTTAGAAGGGTGAAATTCACCTTCTGATGGTATTTAATCAAAGGATGTATGTGTGTGTGTGTGTGTCCATATTAACAAGCATTAGGTATTTTGCTTTATAGATTAGAATTATAATAACCTAGCAATTGTCACTTATTTATTCATTCAAAAATTATTGAGTATCAGTTATAGGCTTCCCTGGTGACTCAAATGATAAAGAAGAGGAGGAGACCCAGGTTTGATCCCTGTGTGGAGAAGATACCCTGGAGAAGGGAATGCCTACCCACTCCACTATTCTTTTCTGGGAAATCCCAGGGATAGAGGAGCCTAGCAGGCTACAGTCCACATGTTGCAGAGTTGGACATGACCAAGCGACTAACCAAAATCGCTGCAGGTGGTGACTGCAGCCATGAAATTAAAAGACGCTTACTCCTTGGAAGGAAAGTTATGACCAACCTAGATAGCATATTAAAAAGCAGAGACATTACTTTGCCAACAAAGGCCCGTCTGGTCAAGGCTATGGTTTTTCCAGTGGTCATGTATAGATGTGAGAGTTGGACTGTGAAGAAAGCTGAGCACTGAAAAATTGATGCTTTTGAACTGTGGTGTTGGAGAAGACTCTTGAGAGTCCCTTGGACTGCAAGGAGATCCAACCAGTCCATCCTAAAGGAGATCAGTCCTGGGTGTTCATTGGAAGGACTGATGCTGAAGCTGAAACTCCAATACTTTGGCTACCTCATGCCAAGAGTTGACTCATTGGAAAAGACCCTGATGCTGGGAGAGATTGGGGGCAGGAGGAGAAAGGGACGACAGAGAATGAGTTGGCTGGATGGCATCACCGACTCGATGGACATGAGTTTGAGTAAGCTCCGGGAGTTGGTGATGGACAGGGAGGCCTGGCATGCTGCGATTCATGGGGTCGCAAAGAGTCGGACGCGACTGAGCAACTGAACTGAACTGAACTGAAGCGACTAACACTTTCACTTTCACCTAATATGCTCAACAGTGTAGAGGATACAGTGATGAATTAGATACTGTACTTGACTTCAAATTGCTTTTAGTTTAATCAGTGTAGAAGCAATGACTTGGCGCACCTTAGAGATCTTTTAGTACTTTTCATAAAATGTGTTTAATGGGTTTTATTTTTACTTACTGTTGAGTTTAGGCTGGGGCATTACACCTTTAATATTTACTAGCATGCTAGAATTTAAGAAGATATTCCATTCTTCCTCTGGTAGAGATCCAACGTCATCCTGCATTAAATTTCCATTAGCATTATTTTGCATGATTGTAATGCAAAGCCCAAAGGAGAAGCAAAGTTTATGTCGATTAAACAGAGCTGAAGAGACAACCTATAAAGAGAGCATAACTGTTAGGCTAGCCTAGCTGGGCCAAATAAATGTGCAAAATTCACGTTTGAGAATGTCTCACCTTAAAAATGTTTCTTGTCAATGTATCTATTGAATTTTTAAGATGTCTATCTAAGGTTCTTTTTTCACTTTCCAATTTAGGCTCTTTTGAGAGATTTGTGATTTCATGACCTTTTTTCAGAAACATTCTCTCCCTTTTCAGACTGTGTTCTTCCTGTTCTTTGCTTTTGGAAACTACTGATGAAACAAAAATTTTACGAAACCAGTCTAGGGAGAATTGGTACATATAATCAATCTCTGCAAGATTAGACACTAGAAAGTAGAGCAGGGCACCCCGAGTAGCAATGGGGAGATACAATTTACGTGTTTCTTCAATTTCACTTTCTGCTTTTCTTGTTGCTTTGATTCGCTTTGAAATTTCGTTTGAAGTCATCTTGGATTTTCTTAAGATGTCTACAATTTCCTCATCATCTAATACAAATCCTAAGGACAGAAAATGAGTTTAAATTAAAACCATTGGAATATTAAATAATTATTTTCTCATGGCAATTTCCTCATTCTCTACTCTTTATCTAAGAGTTTTACTATTGGCCTTTTGTAGGTTTTATTTTGGACATGGACCTGTCTTAAATGAAGATAGGCCATGTTTCTAAAAAATTTGATTAATAGTACATATGCCTCCCCCTTCCCATCCTCTAGTCTCTTATTTCTACTACTTTAAGGTTTGAGGATTTTATTTTTATTATAGGCACATAATAAATAGCCATTTCATCATAAGGAACACATTTCCACTTGATCTTCTATACACACAGAAGATGAAAATAAAATTTTCAGAAAATAACAACAGCACCGTTATTTTATGTGATGTACTCTGGTATTTTCCATTGTGTTCTATTTTATTAAACAAGGTTGATAATGATCAATAAAAGTGATTTTTCATTCCACTAATGGGTTGCTACTCACCTTTAAAAAAATACTGCTTTAGAAACACACATAATAGTTCTATCCCTTTCAAATGTGTAAGACAACTTTCATATTCCCATTTTAAACTCTACTGTTTTATAGTAGAGCTATTCCTACTTTTCAAGTGCTCTTTTTTTTATTTCCCTTGGCCAAGACCTATGACTCACAAGATTTTATTTCCCTAGCCAGAGGCTGAACCCATGCCCAAGGCAGTGAAAGAATGAAGTCCTAACCACTGGACCACCAGGGAATTCCCTCAAGTGTTTTTTTTTTAATTAAAAAAATGTTTTTTACTTTATATTGGAATATAGTTGATTAACAATGTTAGTTTCAGGTGTACAACTAAGATTCAGGTGTACATATACAGGTATCTATTCTTTTAAAAATTCTTTTCCCATTTAGGTTATTAAAGAATATTTAGCAGAGGTCTTTGTTGGTTATCTATCTTACAATCATTTTTTTAAGTAGATAAATTAAGAATTTTAGTTGGAGTTTCAATATCAAACTCTCAAAAATCAATAGAATGACTATACAAAGAAGTAGAAGAATATAGTAGACCTGAAAAGCACTGTGAACCAATACAACATAATTAAGATTTATATGATTTTTACACAACAGTAGGATACAAATTCTATTCAAGTTCCCATAGACTTTAAACTAGGAGCCATAAAAACTAGGAACATAAAACAAGAGGCAAAAAAGTCATGGTCTAAAAGTATTGAAACCATACAGTCTGATCTCTTATTACTGTGGAATTATATTAGAAATCAATATCAAAAGATATTTGAAAATAACTCCCATATTTTCTAGTGCAATGTGACATTTTCCAAGAGAGATCTTTGACTTAGCCATTGAAGGCCTCAATAAAGTCAGATTGAAAAAAACACAGAGGGTGATTGCAGCAAAGAAAGCATTTAAATGAGAAATTAGTGTCAAAATGAGAAATATTTTCGATGATACAATTTCTAGACCCCTTGATGCTCACCTCTGGACACAATTTGAAAAAAACCCTCTTGGATGGCATCTAGAACTAAACATGGTTTGACATGGCCATTGAAAGGAATCATGGGATTATTACATTTGAAGATCTGGAAACCATATGCTTATTGATGCAGGTGAAGCAGTCTAAGTTACATCTGGATCTAAACTATGAGCTGCTTCTTATAGCCACTACCCTTGACCTACCTTTCCCCACAGGGGGTGAGGAGTCACACCAAATATAAAATATTTACAAAAAGATGGTAAAGATAATCTGTTTTTACTAAAACTTGGAAAGGAGAAAAAAAATATGTTCAAAATCAAGGGGTCTTTTATTGAGCTTTTTTCCAAGAACAATTTTTATTAAGTGTACTATCTGTAAAAAGTTGTAGCCTTTTAAAAATATCTCAGACTCTAAAAAGAGAAACAATTAATACGGAATAAACATTAAAGGCATAATAACAGATATAGTGCACTAATGTGTGTTATCATAAAGAAGTTTTTCTTTGTCTTGTTAAAACTATTGTTTGTCCAATTTAGGAAAAGGTTATAGCAAAATATGACATTTGTCAGAAAATAGGAGAGGCTGTGTTCCTGAATCTCATTAGATCAGTTGTGTTGCTTTCTATGTAGTTTACGTAATACCTAGATGTTTTTGTTTTGCTCCCTAAGAAGTTAACAACTATGATTCCAATCTTGCATGAGAAACAGATATGGAAACCTTGTTTATGTAACTAGTCTTGTGATTAATAGAAGAATAGCTTAGTCATGGGTTACTAAGAAACAGCTTTTAGGTGTAATCAAAATAGAAAAGGAACAAATTCAGATCTTTCCAGGCATAAATATGTATTTAAAGTTTCATAGTAAACAAATATACCTTATTTCGTGATTTATAATAAGAAATATATCTTTGGTCTTCATTCCCATTTTTGGCATAGAGCTTCTAAAATCTTTGGAATTTCCTATAGAACCTCTGAGGTGGAGCTAGTGGTAAGGAACCCACCTGCTAATTAACAGGAGATGTAAGAGACAAGAGTTCGATCCCTGGGTCAGGAAGATCCCCTGGAGGTGAGCATGGTAACCCACTCCAGTATTCTTGCCTGGAGAATCCCATGGACAGAGGAGCCTGGCAGGCTATGGTCCCATAGGGTTGCAAAGAGTCAGATAGGACTGAAGTGACTTAGCATGCACATATTTGGTAACAATTCAGAATAGTCCTTTCAACTTTTATTCTGTCCTTTACAAAGGTATGCAAGGGTCTACTAACATCACTAAAGATCTTAACTTACCTTGTGCATTCTGTAGTAAATTTAATGTTTTTTGTTCCAGTTCTTCAAGAGTCTTAGCATCAAGGGAAATACTCTCTAAGAGCTGGAAACGTTGATTTTCTAAATGAGGAACTTCATGACTTAATACAATAGATAAGAGTTGATCTTGAAATCCTTGGAATGTTACTGTGAAGTTTATCATAGTAACAAAACTATAGAGGAATGGAGGAAAATAGGGGTTGTCTATTTCTGTAGATACATATAACCTAAAACGTGAGAAAGGCACCAGTTATTATTCAAAGGATATGCAGAAGAAGAAAATGAAACAAATTCATTTAATAACAAAAAATTTTCTTCTGGAATTAAACAAGATTAATTTTTAGTTTTATTCAGTCTTGTACACAAAGTAGGCTCTCAGTTTATCCTAAGTACTGTCTAGAGCTTTAAAAATACAACCATAAATTATGTACATATTTGGTCTAAGCATAAGGAAGAGGAAAGAAAAACGCTACATAATGGGAGTTTGATTTGCTACTAGATCATTGTAAAGACTATGGTTTTCACCCTGAGTGAGCAAGAAGCTAATGGAGGATTTTGGGAAGAGGAGAGACATGATGTTTCATAAGAGGACCACTCTGGCTGCCGTCTTGAGAGCAGCCTGAGCAGAGGGAAGACAGAGGACAAGAAGGAAGCTAGGAGACTGGATAAAATGTGAGAGAGAGTGATGGTGGCTTGGAGCTATGTGGAACCAGTGGAAGCATTCAAGAGTGCTGGGATTCTGGATCACTTTTAGTTTTCATAGCAACACAGTATTTTGGGTTGGACCAGACTTCCCTGGTGGCCTAGTGGTAAAGAATCACCAGCTAATGCAGGAGACACAGGTTTGATCACCGGGTTGGGAAGATCTCATGGAAAAGGAAATGACAACTCACTCTAGTATTCTTGCCTGGGAAAACCCTTGGACAGAGGAACATGGCAGGTTACAGTCCATAGGGTCACAAAAAAGTCAGACGTGATTTAGCAATGAAACAACAACATTTTATAAAGGGTGAAATTGAGGCTTACAGAGGTTAAATAAGTTGCCAATATCACACGGCTAACAATTGACAGAGAGGGAATCTGTCATCATTTGCCCTCTAAAATAGTCCCTCCACCACATCGTCAAACATGGAATTCAAACATGGGGACGAGGATATCAGTTCAGGGCAATGTTACTTCAGTAGTATTTCTAAGCTATTGTTTAATCAATCAGGCTGTATTCAGAGAAAGAATGTGTTAATGCAGTGCTTTCCAAAGTGCATTCTGTGGAACAGTATTTTCTGAAGAGGATTGTTCAACAAATAAAGAGATTTTAAGTCCTTGTAGGAAAGAATCTTGTTTAACTTTGTTTAACTCAGCTCTTTAAGAAAATGCAGAATCCCTTTTTTGAGTGACCCCCTACTTCTACCCCAATTAAATCCCTAGAAATGATGCTTTGAGAAACATACTTTGGAAAATGTTTTACTAACAGAAGGAAGGAGGCTAAAAAGGGAGAATTCTAAGGAGTCAGAATTAGTTGAGGAGTGAGAATTTGGCAGCTCTGCCCAAGTTAGAGGATTCACTGACCAACAAGTTTAAGAGTCAGGACAACTGGTAAGGAGTCAGTCTGTCAGAGTCCCTGTAAAGAAGTTAAATGCACCAGGCTAGGGGCCATTAACATCATCTTCTAATTCTCATTATGGATTACTTGCTTACTGTAATCTTTTGATTATGAATTGAAGGAGAGAATGCACATAACTGATAACACAAAGTCTTATTCCCTTGGGAACTATATTTTTGTTGTAATTAAATTTGGCTGTATAATAGTGCTTTGTGAAATTGGTTGATGAATTGGTTTCCTGGAGGCTCATAACTGCTTGGAACATAGACACAATATTTTTATCTGTCTAGGCAAAATATCTTTTTGCTCTAGGTAGCAGAAGTGGATTTTGTTTTTTAAAGAAGCAGAAGCTTTTCCTGCCCAAATAAAATATTGTGCAAACAGATCAAATTGAGGTCCGTGGGTTCAAGTGGGGCTGGGCTTCCTGATTGCTGTCCTTCTTGCACTGCTTCTGAAGACTGTTCATAGAACCCATAGCTTCCATCAGGCACAGTTTGAAAATATTGGTTTGGAATGACTTTATACATAAAAATCTGTTCTCCATTTTGTTTACTATTATGTGCTACTGACAACACAAAAACAAAAAGAATGTTCAAAATGCAATCTGACTTTTTCCACCAGGAGAACCTTATCAGGGCTGAAATATGGGACCTTCAATATTATCGATCTTTAAAAGTATAAATATTTGAGTCAATTCAGTTATGAAATACATTACCTAAATTTGGAATTGTATTCAATCTCAGAATCATTAATTTTTATGAAATATTGACCTCTTCTCTGGTAAATATCCTTCTTCAAAATTTCCTTTAAACTTGGATCTAATCTTTCAGGAAGATTCTGAAAATAAATAAAATAAAGAAAAAATTCATTTTATAACAAATAAATCAGCTGAAAAGGCACAGCATTTAAAACATGTAAATCTTTAATGTCTATATACCTGTGAAAGATGTGAGAGAATTAAACATTGAAAATATACTGCATTTATTTATGCACTTATTTATTTATCATTTTTTCCCTTGACAAAGTTACCTGTCACTTACAATTTGTGTGTCGGCTATCTGGAATTAGGTCATTTTGTCCAAATACCTGCAAGAGGATACTCCCTCCTGTTTTCATAGCATTCTCAATTGTTTGGATATAATTGCCATCCTTAGTGGAGAGCTCCTGCAGCCTAGATCCTTCCATCTGACGGATCCAACTGTGTGCTTGCTTATGTGGGTCAATCAGCAGTGGCCACTGCAGGCCGTTCTTGATTAAGATGGCATTCTCTGTTGAATGTTGACCAAGAGGAAGTCCCTGATGATGCCACTGGCGGATCTGGAAAGAAATCATTAGAGTTTTTGTTGTTTCATAAACTTCTTCACATCTTCTAATATTATACAGGATACTAAAGAATCCTACAGATTATCAAATAATCTTTAAAAGGACAAATAATCTTTAAAAGTCTTCCAGTCGTGCCCAACTTTTTGCAACCCCATGGGCTATACATTCCATGGAATTCTCCAGGCCAAAATATTGGAATGGGTAGCCTTTCCCTTCTCCAGGGAATCTTCCCAACCCAGGGATTGAACCCAGGTCTCCTGCATTGTGGGGAGATTCTTTACCAGCTGAGCCAGGAGGGAAGCCCTTAAATGGACTAAAGAAATGAACAATTTAAAACAACTGGGACATGAAATTTTTGGTAAGGTGAGTAATTATTCAGGACATTACATTCTTTTGTTTATCAGTAGGGATGAATGCTCATCACAACAGATGTCTCATTTTAGATTTACTTTTCAGTCCCTAATTAATAATGAGGTTAAGAACCTTTCCTATGTTTAAGGCGATTTGGATAGTCTGTTTTGTGAGCTGCCTGTTCAAGACTCCTGCCTGTTTATTAACTGGGTTGTGTATCTTTTGCTTAGTGATTTATAGTGGCTTTCTTTTCTACTCTGAATAGGGCTCTTCGTTGAGCATATTATTACAAATATCCTTTTCTGTTCTTTGACTTTCCTTTTTATGTTCTCAATTGTGTCTTTTGATGAATAGAAGGTCTATATTTTAATGTAATTCAATTGATCAACTTTTTCTTCTGTGTTTAGTTCTGCTCAGGATATCTTTTCTTTACCTAGGGTCATGAATACATTCTCCTAAATTATACCTTATTAATTTGCCTTTTACATTTAGGTCTATAATTTAACTTCAATGAAATTTTTGTGTGTAATATAAAATAGTGTCAATTTTTAAAATGAATATTCAATTATCCACCACTGTTTACTGAAACGCCTACCCATTCCTCATTGCATTACATATCACCTTTGACATAAATCAAAGTTCTACCTATTTAGGGATCTGTTTCTGGGCTCTCAGTTCTACTTCATTGGTATAGCTATTTATCCTTAAATTGTTACACAAGGATAAATAATAGCACTGTCTTAATTACTGTAGCTTTAAAGTAAATCTTGATATTGCAAGTTCTCCCACCCAGTTCTTTACTAACATTGTGTTGGACATTTTGGCTCTTTGCCTTTTCTTATAACTTTTAGAATCAGCTTGTCATCTGACACCCCCACCTCTCCACACACAAACACATCCCTTCCTGTTGGAAAGTTGACTGGGATTACAATGGATCTTTAGATCAATTTGGGAAGAACTGGCAATTTCAGAATATTGAGTCTTCCAATTCATGAGCATAGTATAACTCTTAATTTATATAAGTTTCCTAAAATTTATGTCAATAACATTTTATAGTTTCATTTCTATAATTTAAGATAACTTTTTGATAGATTCAGTATGATGCTGTGATAAATTGTGTCTACAAACATCATGGACCCTGCTTGTTGCTGGTATACAGAAATGTAATTGGTTTTTTTTATACTGACTTTAATTCCAGAAAGTTTGCTAAATGTTTGTCAATGCTTGTGATGTATCTACGTGTTCTCTTGGATTTTTTAGATACATATAATCTGCAACATTATATATTTTTTGTCTCTCTTCTCCCATTTTAATATTTTTTTATTTTTTTCTTGCCTTACTGCACTGTTTAGGATCTCCAGTACAGCAGTAAATACAAGCGGAAATAGTGGATATACCTTTGTTATATTCCCAATCTCAAAAGAAAATCTTTTGACAATGAATCATTTATTCAATTCTGATTTCTTCTTTGACCTGTGGTTAGTTTGGGAATACATTTCCTAACCTCCAGAAATGAGGATTTTAAGAGAAGCTTTTAATTATATACTTCTAGCTCAATTGCTTTTTTTGTCAGATAACATAGTCTATATGATTCAATTCCTTTGATATTTGTTACAAGTTTGTTTATAGTCCATTACATGGTCAGTTTTGGTAATATTCTATATTGAACATTGAATGTGAATGTTCTATATTGGCATTGAATGTGAACGCTGTAGGTGTAGGCTGCAGTGTCTAATTAACCTATTAATGTCCATTTGTTGATTATGTTGTTCAAATCTTTTTTATTCTTACTGGTTTGTGTGTTCTTTTTCTGTGAGTTATAGAGAGAAATGTATTAAATTTTCACTATGATTGTAGATTTGTCCATCTTTATCTGTAGTTCTTTTAATGTTTGCTTTATATTTTTTGAGGTCATGCTATTAGATACAGATTTAGAATTGTTAACATAATCTTGAAGATTAAACCAATTCTAATTTTAACATAAGCTTATTTAATTCTAGCAATCATTTTTTGCCTTAAAGTCTATTGTCTTTTATTTTTGGTAATAAATGGCAAATGCCTTCCTACTTTTTTTATTGCCAATCTTCTTTATGTTTTAACTGTGTCTTTCCTAAAAAACATGTAACTTCTGTTTCATGCTTTGGTTTATACTTTTATGTAGTTTTACAATCTTAGACTTAACTGTACCATTTAGTCCATTTACATATACTGTAATTACTGATGTGATATGTGTGTTCAGTTGCTCAGTTGTGTCCAACCCTTTGTGACCCTCTGGACTGTAGCCCATGAGGCTTTTCTGTACATGGAATTTTCTAGGCGAGAATACTGGAGTGGGTTGCCACTTTCTACTCCAGGGGATCTTCCCAACCCAGGGATTGAACCTGCATCTCTTGTGTCTCCTGTATTGTCACGTGGATTCTTTACCACTAGTGCCACCTGGGAAATCCCAGTTACTGATATATTTGGGTTTGAATTCATTATTAGCATTGTGAAAATAAAAAGCCAGTATTCGCTTTGAGAGTTTGTATTTTTGATGGTCAGTTTAAGTTATTAGTGGGAAAACCAATCCAAAATTACTCTCTGTGAATGAAAAAATACGTGTTTTCTTTTTTGCCTTTGCAACATCAGCACAGAACTTACATAGATAAGACAATAAATACTTATTGATAAATTGACAAATGTAAGGTCTATAATTTTGGATATTTCTGAGACTACTAACTATGGTTTGACAAGAACATGAATTTTATTAATTAGATGGGTTTCTGGGAGAGGAAATGGCTATATTTATGAGAGTACAATTACAATGGAAAAGGGATATTTTTGACTGTTTCCCAGGGGATAAGAAACTTAAGGCGACTTAACTGAGCTATATGAAGTATAATTTAAAAAATACAAAGCAAACTTCTTTATTTTTACTTATAAAATAATTTAAGGAATGGATTCAAGCCCTAAGGTATGTGTGAACATACACACACACACACACACACACACGCAATCCAAACCAACAACAATCACTTAACTGGATAACAGAAATATGTTACTACCTCATGTTTTTGTGCCATGACTTCAATTAAAGAAAAGTCAGAAGACAAAGAAATGTTGTTTTCAGTGCAAAGATTCTGCCACTTTTCCACAATCAGTTGGCGAAACTCTGCTGTTAACACTCCACTGTAGACAATGCATGCTGCTGAAATTAGTATGTCACCCAAAATTCCTTCCAACTTGCTGTCTATTTGATCAATTGTTTCTTGCCATCGAGTCTAAACGTTCAAGTAAAAAGTTATTGATATTTAATATGAAATATTCTATTGTAAGACATTTTAGATAGTAATAGTCTCCAGGTTGGATCTATTATTGCTGTTACTATCTATTCTTATGCCATAGTTGCATTAAAATTAATAATTTGTTTTTGTTGTCCAGCCAACTAAGCTGTATCTGACTCTTTGAGACACTGTGGACTATGGCCCACCAGGCTTCTCTGTCCACGGGATATTTCCAGGCAAGAATACTGGAATGGATTACCATTTTCTTCTCCAAAAATTAACAATGGATCATATGAAAAAACAAACTGCTTTTTGAGGAGAACATGAGTCCTATTCTTGGATTTGTGACTCTCATATTTGCTAAGACTTATAGCTATTTCAAATACTTTGTGTAATAAAGTAGGACAATTTTAAAAATAATGATTCATTATAATGTATTATTCATAACACTGTACAGGAGACAGGGAGCAAGACCATCCCCAAGAAAAAGAAATGCAAAAAAGCAAAATGGCTGTCTGAGGAGGCCTTACGAATAGCTGTGAAAAGAAGGGAAGCAAAAAGCAAAACAGACAAGGAAAGATATATCAATTTGAATGCAGAGTTCCAAAGACTAGCAAGGACAGATAAGAAAGCCTTCCTCAGCTGTGGTACATATACACCATGGAATATTACTCAGCCATTAAAAAGAATTCATTTGAATTAGTTCTAATGAGATGGATGAAACTGGAGCCCATTATACAGAGCGAAGTAAGCCAGAAAGATAAAGACCATTACAGTATACTAACACATATATATGGAATTTAGAAAGATGGTAACGATAACTCTATGTGCAAAACAGAAAAAGAGACTCCGATGTATAGAACAGACTTGTGGACTCTGGGAGAAGGCGAGGGTGGGATGTTTCAAGAGAACAGCATTGAAACACGTATATTATCTAGGGTGAAACAGATCACCAGCCCAGGTTGGGTGCATGAGACAAGTGCTCGGGCCTGGTGCACTGGGAAGACCCAGAGGGATTGGGTGGAGAGGGAGGTGGGAGGGGGGACCGGGATGGGGAATACATGTAAAAAAAAAAAAAAAAAAAGATACACTATGGTTGTGATAAAAATAAATAAATAAATAAATTTAAAAAAAAAAAAAAAAAAAAAAGAAAGCCTTCCTCAGTGACCAGTGCAAAGAAATAGAGGAAAACAACAGAATGGGAAAGACTAGAGGTCTCTTCAAGAAAACTAGAGATACCAAACGAACATTTCATGCAAAGATGGGCTCAATAAAGGACAGAAATGGAATGGACCTAACAGAAGCAGAAGATATTAAGATGAGGAAGAGATGGCAAGAATACACAGGAGTGTACAAAAAAGATCTTAATGAACCAGATAATCATGATGGTGTGATCATTCAGCTAGAGCCAGCCATCCTGGAATGTGAAGTCAAGTGGGCCTTGGGAAGCTTCACTACAAACAAAGCTAATGGAGGTGATGGAAAGTTGAGCTATTTCAAATCATAAAAGATGTTGCTGTGAAAGTGCTGCACTCAATATGCCAGCAAATTTGGAAAACTCAGCAGTGGCCATAGGACTGGAAAAGGTCGGTTTGCATTCCAATCCCAAAGAGAGGCAATGTCAGAGAAAGATCAGACTACCGCACAATTGCACTCATCTCACACGCTAGTAAAATAATGCTCAAAATTCTCCAAGCCAGGCTTCAGCATTACGTGAATCATGAACTTCCAGATGTTCAAGCTGGTTTTAGAACAGGCAGAGGAACCAGAGATCAAATTGCCAACATTCAATGGTCATTGAGAAAGCAAGAGAGTTCCAGAAAAACATCTATTTCTGCTTTATTGACTACTCTAAGGCCTTTGACTGTATGGATCACAATAAACTGTAGAATATTCTGAAAGAGATGGGAATACCAGACCACCTGACCTGCCTCTTGAGAAACCTATATGCAGGTCAGGAAGCAACAGTTAGAACTTGACGTAGAACAACAGACTGGTTCCAAATAGGAAAAGGAGGACGTCAAGGCTGTATATTGTCACCCTGCTTATTTAACTTATATGTAGAGTACATCATAAGGAATGCTGGGCTGGAAGAAGCACAAGCTGGAATCAAGATTGCAGGGATAAATATCAATAACCTCAGATGTGCATATGACAGCACCCTTATGGCAGAAAGTTAAGAAGAACTAAAGAGCCTCTTGATGAAAGTGAAAGAGGAGAGTTAAAAAGTGGGCTTAAAGTTCAACAATCAGAAAACTAAGATCATGGCATCTGGTCCCATCACTTCATGGCAAATAGATGGAGAAACTGTGGCTGACTATTTTTTGGGGCCACAGAATCTCTGCAGATGATGACTGCAGCCATGAAATTAAAAGACACTTACTTCTTGGGAGAAAAGTTATGACCAACCTAGACAGCATATTAAAAGCAGAGATGTTACTTTGCCAACAAAGGTCTGTCTAGTCAAGGCTATGGTTTTTCCAGTGGTCATGTATGGATGTGAGAGTTGGACTATAAAGAAAGCTGAGCACTGAAGAATTGATGCTTTTGTACTGTGGTGAAGACTCTTGAGAGTCCCTTGGACTCCAAGGAGATCCAATCAATCCATCCTAAAGAAAATCAGTCCTGAATATTCATTGGAAGGACTGATGATGAAGCTGAAACTCCCAATAGTTTGGCCACCTGATGTGAAGAACTAACTCATTTGAAAAGACCCTGATGCTGGGAAAGATTGAGGGCAGGAGGAGAAGGGGACAACAGAAGATGAGAAGGTTGGATGGCATCAGCAACTCAATGGACGTGAGTTTGGGTAAACTCCGGGAGTTAGTGATGGACAGGGAAGCCTGGCATGCTGTAGTCCATGGGGTGTCACAAAGAGTTGGATACGACTGAGTGACTGAACTGAACTGAACTGAACTGATAATGTGTTATTAATGGTGTTAAATTATGGCAATAATGACCAGTACTTTTGAATCCTTACTTATCTGACTGACATTTTTTTTGGAAAATCTCATGAGAGGCTTTCAATATTCTGTTAAGTAAAATCCCATTGACTTTAAGATCAAGACATTAAAGCTTAGAAAAGTTAAGCAAGTTCACAAAGCTTCTGAAGAATGCAGCAAGGCTCTGAACCCATATTCTTTGGCTATATACCCTCCTTCTACAACTGTGTATGTGCTTGACTGATCAAGAATAAAGCATGTTAAGTGAGAACCACATCATCTGGAAGCTTAAGATCTGAGATAAGCTGTTCTACTTCCTCTCAACATATTCTTGATTCACAAGGATATCAGTCATTTTCCTCTGTGATCTCCCTCTGGTTGGTCTCATTTCATAACCTCCTTCTCCCTGACCTTTAGGAGTCTTCTGCGATATATATTTATCTAAGCAACTAAACTAAATTAAAATTATCTTGAGAATTTTGTAAGATGCTTTGAGATAGCTGAGTAATGACTTAAACCAAGATGCTAGTAAGCTGACTAAGGATTCAAATATAGAGAAAGCATATGAATTAGGAGAGAAATAAAAAGATGAGATAAAAGAGGTCAGAAGACAGAAAAAATAAAATTTTCTTTTTCCTGTCTAAAGACATACCCTTCATTTCAGCCCCACCCATGTTTCTACATTCAGTTGGGGTAATTTCTCTGCTAGAAAAGGAAAACTCATGCCATACTCATAGGCAGATTTATTATTTTAGGCCTCATCAGACAAAGCGTGCTGATGTTTTAGGCACAAACTTTTGATCATTTTACTGTTACCCCTGTTTTAAGACTATTTAATCAAGATTCTTTTATTTTTGTCTCAATAGAATTGCCTGTCTGTGTATGTGCTCAGTCATGTCTGACTCTTTGTGACCTCATAGACTGTAGCCTGCCAGGTTCCTCTGTCAATGGGATTTTTTCAGGCAAGAACACTGGAGTGTGTTGCTATTTCCTCCTCCAGGGGATCTTCCCAACCCAAAGATTGAGCCTGGGTCTCTTGTGTCCCCTGCGTTTGCAGGTGAATCCTTTACTCCTGCGCCATCTGGTATCCTTTACTCCCATGCCACCTGCTGTTATAGAACTGTCTACTGATCTTAAAAGGGAAACTGATAGTAAAATAGTTTTAAGCAGTATGATATAGCCTTCAGTGAAAGCAGCATCTTGGGTTTGTCAAGACTAGTAGAAATTAATGAAGGAGATATAAAACCAAGGGAAGTCCTGCCTTCTCATCTTCCAAGGCAGTTAGTAAGATAGATGCACACTGTAAGCGCTTGGTGGCCAGTTTTCTTCGATGTGCTAATAGTTCTTTTTCAGCAACAATCTCTTTGTAGGCTTCTTGCAAAAACTGAAGATGTTCTTCAACCTGAAAGACAATGAATTCAGTATTGAGACAAATTCTTACTCTCATTTGCCTTAAGAGTTTATCTGTCATTTATGCAAACATGGTGTGTAACCATTTCATTTCACATCCTGGAAAATCTTCCTGGAAAGATAGATATATTATCAATGAAAATGTACATTGTGGTAATTAAATGAATCAATCCTTGATGCTGAACTTTTAAAAAAAACTGCCATCTTCCTTGATAAGCTTTCTTACAATCTTGGTATCTGAAGATTCATTTCTGATTTATTTTTCACACAGAAAATTTTGTATCACATCTAGTTTTCTTCTTTTAAGGAACTGATTGAACATTTTTTCATGCCAGATACTCTGATGACTAGAAACTAATGAGTTTTTGAAGTTGGACTTGTGGGATGAAGCAACTATTAAATTATCCCTAGGCTGTAAGTAGTGGCTTCCTTGATGGCTCAGATGGTAAAGAATCCGCCTGCAATGCAGGAGACCAGGGTTTGATCCCTCGGTTGAGAAGATCCCTTGGAGGAGGGCATGGCAACCCACTCCAGTAGGTTGCCTGGAGAATCTTGCCTGGAGAATCCCATGGACAGAGGAGCCTAGAGGGCTACAGTCCATGGGGTTGCAAAGAGCTGGACATCACTGAGCAACTAAGCACAGGCTGTTAAGTAGAAAACATATTTTCATGATTAGTTGATGAAACTGTTTTCTTAAATTACCACTTATCTTGATTATCCTTGCTCAAAGACATTTGGTGAATTCTTATAGAAAAGATTGCCTAAGGAGAGAGTCCAGTGTTTCAACCCTGCCAACAACCTAATTACCCACAACCTAATCCCAATATTCCTTTCCAAATTCATCTCCTTTTCAATATTACAGTACAACCAGATTGGCTTATTCCATATTTTCTAAACATTTCCTAAATTTTCTTGCCTCTGGGATTTGTCTCATATTCTTCCCTTGTGCCTGGACTCCTCCCTTAAATGGATGTAAATCCTAGGCATTCTTTAAAATTCTTATCAACTTCCAGCTGTCATAAAGTCTTAGCTTGACAAGTCCACACGGATCTATACTGGTTACAAAAGTCATTTTTTGAAGGAACTATACATTGGCAGATATTATCTCTTGGGCTGTGGTCTTATAGTCTTATTATTCTTTTTTCATGTCCTCAAAATCTCTGAAGACAGGGTTTAGTGTGAAGACTTCAATATGATATGTACATGTAATTGTATATACAAACTTGTGCCTATTGAATACAGTTAGTGATTTGTAATTTCTCCTCTGATTTCTAAGATGTTATCCTGGTGAAAATACCTAATTTTCACAAAAATATGCACATTAGTGACTTTTGGTATGCTTATTCTAATGATTTATTACTTAGTCCTGTTACACCCATAATAATTATTCAGTTGTTTGTTCATATATTATGTTGCTTTGTTTTCTTGCTTATACTTTCTGTTTAGATCGAAAACTCTTTCTTTGTTACTTATGATCTAGTGAGTTTTTTAAAGTGTCAGTTAGTCAGTTCAGTTCAGTTCAGTCAGTCAGTCGTGTCCGACTCTGTGACCCCATGAATTGCAGCATGCCAGGACTCCCTGTCCATCAGCAACTCCCGGAGTTTACTCAAACTCCTGTCGATCACGTCAGTGATGCCATCCAGCCATCTCAGCCTCTGTCGTCCCTTTCTCCTCCTGCCCTCAATCCCTCCCAGCATCAGGGTCTTTTTCAATGAATCAACTCTTCGCATCAGGTGGCCAAAGTATTGAGTCTCAGCTTCAACATCAGTCCTTCCAATGAACACCCAGGACTGATCTCCTTTAGGATGGACTGGTTGGATCTCTTTGCAGTTTAAGGGACTGTCAAGAGTCTTCTCCAATACCACAGTTCAAAAGCATCAATTCTTCGGCACTCAGCTTTCTTTATAGTCCAACTCTCACATCCATACATGACCACTGGAAAAACCATAGCCTTGACTAGACGGAGGGCTTGTCAATTCAATTAAACATGTGAAATTTCTATTATATGACAGATAGTCACTGTGAGCCTCAAGGTAACACAGTGAAATATAATAGGTTCTGATATTATTTCTTTTTCCCAAAGTTTCAGAGATTTTTCAGAATTTTTTTTAATACTAGGACCCATGTGAACAAAAAACCTGTTTATAAAATGGGAGACAGTGCATGGTTGAGTAAGCATAAAATCTCAACAAAGAGTTTAAAACCAATGGAGTTAACTATTACACTCAATTTTAAAATATTAAGTGTAAAAATGGGGCTTCCCAGGTGGTGCTAGTGGTAAAGAATCCACCTGCCAATGCAGGAGATGGGAGACTCAGGTTCAGTCCCTGGGTTGGGAAGATCCCCTGGAGTAGGAAGTGGCAACCACTCCAGTATTCTTGCCTGGAGAATCCCGTGGACAGAGAAGCCTGGTGGTGTACAGTCCATGGGGCCACAAAGAGTCAGACACAATTGAGCAACTGAGCAACTGAGCACACAAATGTAAAAATATACATTTAAAATATACTTGTTTGCATTTAATGAGTTAAAATATTAGAAACTTCTCATGAAGCCTGTAGTCCTGGAAGGGGATGTGGAATATTAGTGAATAAAATTCTGACAAGAATTTGCAGTTTATCTTTCTGTCTTATACCATACAATAATAATAAAAACAAGTGAACAATACTGTAAACAAACATTTGTTGGATAGATGAGTGAAAATACTAAGACACACACACAAAATCATGGACATCAGGAAAACTGAGTAAATATCAAAATTGAAAATACCAAGCATAAGTACAATAAAACTACACAGCAACATAAAATAAATTCAGTTCAAATTTGTTGCTAATTTCCCTTAAAAATGTCCAATACTTTTTATATCTCTTAAGCTTGCAAGAAATACCTATGGGACCAGGTAGGTAATATAAATCCTTGAAGTGAATTCAGGGGTTTATGGTGGCCAAGTAAGAATGCTAGCTCAGGCTGTCAGATTTCCTGAATTTTCAAGAGAATGTAGGTTTTAAATGAAAATTTCAGATTAAAATGTTGGTAACTACATCAAAATGTAGGAAAAGACTTACATAGTCCAAATAAAGATGTCAATGGGCAGAATGTGCCTATTAGATTGCCGTCTCTGAAGTATATTGCCTTACCCATTCTCAAAAGGTATGTGAGCTATATGAGAGGGATTAATGGTCTCAATTCTAGTTTTAGTTTTCATTATGATACTCTTACTTAATTTAAAATTGATGAAAAATACTGGAGAAGATGGCGGAGGAATAGGACGGGGAGACCACTTTCTCCCCTACAAATTCATCGAAAGAACATTTGAATGCTGAGCAAATTTCACAAAACAACTTCTGATCGCTAGCAGAGGACATCAGGCGCCCAGAAAAGCAGCCCATTGTCTTCAAAGGGAGGTAGGACAAAATATAAAAGATAAAAAGGGAGTCAAAAGAGCTAAGGACGGAGACCCGTCCCGGGAAGGGAGTCTTAACAGAGGAAGTTTCCAATCACCAGGAAACCCTCGCACTGGCGGGACTGGGGGAAGTTTTCGGCAATCTAACTGGGAGGAAAAATTAAACAAGGCCCACAGATTACGTGCCTAAAAGCAACTCCCAGCAGAAAAGTACCCCAGACGCCCGTACCCGCCAGCAACAAGCGGGGGCGGGACGGAGAGGAGCAGGCGGCATTGCTTAGGGCCCGAACACACTGCCGGCGGTTCGCAAAACAAAGGGACTGAGAAAGTCCAGAGAAGAGCCGGCCCATCCCCGCTGGAGGTTGGAGGCAGGGGGGAGGGGAAAAGGGCAAACTCAGCCCCTGAGAAGCCACCCCCTCCCACACTGCAAACAGGCCCCCGGGTCCTATCTAAAGACTTCCTGAGACCCGACTGGCGGTGCGCGCTGGGGCCGCGGAGGGAAAAAGGCGCGCCGTACCCGGGGAGAGTGCGCCCAAGCCTCTGGCTGCCTGGGCCGCTCGACGCGGAGGGAAGAGGCGCGCCGTACCCGGGGAAAGTACGCCCAAGCCTCTGGCTGCCTGAGCCGCTCGCCGCGGAGGGAAGAGGCGCGCTGTACCCGGGGAAAGTACGCCCAAGCCTCTGGCTGCCTGGGCCGCTCGACGCGGAGGGAAGAGGCGTGCCACACCCGGGGAGAGTACGCCCAAGCCTCTGGCTGCCTGAACCGCTCAGGCCGGGGAAGGCACAAAACGCAGGCGCAACCGAATCTGCGCTTTTGTGGAGTACCCGAAAACTGGAACCGCACTCAGCGCAGGGCCCGCTCCATATAGAGCAGCCGGGAGCCTGAGCAGTGTAGACGGGGAAAGCACTGACACCCGTGAGCGGGGCAAACCCAGTGTGGCCGAACACGGTGAGTGCTATCCACACAGAGCGGTATCTGTCTGCAGCGCCCCGCCCTCCCCGTAGCAGGACTGAACTGAACTAGAGAACCTGAATAAGAGATCACCTCCGCCCGCCTGTGTCAGGGCGGAAATTAGACACCAAAGAGACGGCAAACAGAAGCCAAATAAACAAAGGGAACCGCTTCAGAAAGGACTGGTGCAACAGATTAAAATCCCTGAAGGTAACACCGACTACACCAGAAGGGGCCTACAGATATCGAGAAGTGTAAGCTGGAAAGAGGAGCTATCTGAAATTGAACTGAACCTACGCTGACTGCAACAACTCCAGAGAAATTCCTAGATATATAGATATATTTTTTTTAATTAAAAAAAATTTTTTTCTTCTATCCTTTTATTTATTTTTTTATTATTTTATTTTTTCTCTTTTATTTTCTTTTAAAATTCCCTATTACCCCCCCATTACTCCTCAACTTTCATTTTCATATATTTTTACGATTTTTTTAATTAGGGAAAAAAAAATTTTTTTTTTCTTTTTCTTGTTTTTCTCTCCTATTTCCTTTTAAAGTCCTCTAATACTCCTCTATTATTCCTTAATTTTCATTTTCATTTCACTATAACCTTGCCAAAAAAAAAAGAGAGAGAGAGAGAGAAACC